GGTAGAGCGGAGGGCGCCGGTGCTGCAGCGCTGGGGCTCTGCCGGTTGGGTTTTCCAGCCCTGAGGATTCCAGGTGCTGCCTCTTTCCGTCCTCCAGCAACGCACTGACCTTCCCCTCGCACCACAGGGCCCCGCAGGAGCGGCGCAGCCGCTCCGCTGCCTCCCGGTTCGGAAGCACCGAGTAGTAATTCTCCATGTTGTAGCATTCCTCTAGCGTGCTCCCTTCCCTTTGACTTCCTCTGCTGCCCGGGATCCCAGAGCCACGTGCTGTCATCATGGAACCATTGGCCACCATTGGCGTGCAATTCACAACCATCAGCTTTAACAGGAAGTCTTCCATTCTCTCTCTTTAATGGCAACGTAATTCCATCTCCCCCAGCGCTGGGTTCAGCGTCGCATCAGAACAGAGACCTCTTCTGCCGAGCTCCAGCTGAGGAGTGTGGCTCAGCTCTGTCAGAGAGGCAGAGGCAGCGGTGCCATCGAGATGGACGTTGTGCAGAGCAAAGTGCTTTGAAAGCTGCAAACTCGGAGCTAAAATCGGGTTTGGGCAGCTTTGTGCAGTGTAGTTTTCAACTGGAAGGAATTACAGAGAGACCGGTCTAAGGAATGGGTGGAATGGTGATCAAGGAGGAGTTTCCAGCCAGGCAAAGAGGGGTGTCAGGAGCAGCACAGAGCAGGGAACCGCTCAGTCAAAGAGGGGAACATTAAACCATAAAGGGTTGGGGGAAAGCGTTTTTATTAACCTTACAAGTTCTTCTTGCTTTAGGCTGTGCCTGCAGTGGCTCTGAGCCACATCTGGCTGTGAAGCCAACGACCATTGCAAAACACTTCCAGTGCCAGGCTGGGAAGGTTTCTCTCTTGCCAAAAGTGGCTTTGCCATTTGTGCAGAAAGGAGGCATTTTCTCCTGGCAACCAGCTTATTCCTGAGCCTGTTGGATGCTCAAGGCTTGAGTCTGTCTGATCTTCACCTCAGTAAGTCGAGATGTGGGGAGAACGGAAACGTAACATGAAGGTGCTCTCTGGAGCTCCAAGGATGATGTGGGCAGATCAGTTTCTCCTGTTTATGGAGCAGAATGAAGACAGGAAAATCAGGCCTTGGCTTTACCAGCCGCTCACTTCAGCTCTTGTAGATCATACATTTGTGAAGAAGGAGCTATAGGGCAGGAGGGACCTTTTGTTTGCTCACTTCCAAAGCAAACTGGCGATTGCTTCAGGGGTTATTAAAGCAGCAACACAAGAAGAAGTTACAAGAAGAGCCTGACTCTACCTTCCCCGTAACCTCCCAGCAAGAAGGCAGCAAAGCGAGTTCTCCCTTCTCTTCCCTTGTGAGATGACAACCCCCGCTCTCCCGCCCTCTCCTTGTCTTCCCTGTGCTGTCCCTTCTCCATCCACTCCAACTTCATAACCATCTTGGTGGCCCTTGACTGGAATTCTTGAGGGTGTCACTATAAGGTGCTGGGGAGCTCAGCACTGGTGGTTTCATTCTGTGTCTGGGTAATACTTCTCCCAAGTCAACTGCTATAAATAGAAAATAACTAAATGGTTGCTAAAAATGAACGTGGTGCTTTTTTATTCTGGCTTGTCGTGACTGAAGAATCAGAGAATCCAGCCTGGGTCGGGTTGAAGGGAACTTCAACCTCCTCCAGCTCCAACCCCTGCCCCGGGCAGGGACACCTTCCACTAGAGCAGGTTGCTCCAAGCCCCTGTGTCCAACCTGGCCTTGAACACTGCCAGGGATGGGGCAGCCAAACCTTCTCCCTTCAACCCATTCCAGTTCCCCACCACCCTCACAGGGAAGAACTTCCTTATCTCCAACCTGAACTTCCCGTTTCAGTTTGAACCCATCACCCCTTGTCCTGTCACTCCAGTCCCTGATGAAGGTCCCTCTCCAGCATCCCTGTAGCCCCCTTCAGACACTGGAAGCTGCTCTGAGCTCTCCAGCAGCTTCTCTTCTCCAGGGTGAACAGCCCCAATGTTCTCCGCCTGGCTCCATTCGGGAGCTGCTCCAGCCCCTGCTCATCCTCGTTGTCTCCTCTGGCCTTGCTCCGACAGCTCCATGTCCTTCTGGGGACGCCAGAGCTGCACCCAGTGCTGCAGGGGGGTCTCAGAGCAGAGCAGAGGGGCAGGATCCCCCCATGACAAATACTGGGGTTTCTGCCCGCTGGTTTGGGCCGTTGGGTTTCCACATGGAAACCTTGGCCTTGGATCTGCCGCGGGGTTAGGACAGAACCACCGACCGGTGCAGGCCACAGTGATGGGAACTGTTCATGAAGAGTAGCTCCAGGTGCAGTCTTGGTTACCCCGTTCTCGTTGTTCAGAGGGAATTGGGTAACGGTTCTGAACAGGGCATTAGAATCCCAAAGCCAATGCTTCCTGCAAAGCAAGAGCCATCTTCCTGTGGAGAGGCTGGTGAAGGGGGGACACTGAGCAGGCGATCAGTTGTTTGACATCCTCAACCCATGAAACCCAGGTCAGGCCTTAGGAGGGTAAAACGTTTCCCCTGTGGGGAAATCCAAGCTAAAGGATCATATTTTATTCTGGGGCAGCTTTGATACCAAGATCATGGACTTAAGACCAGCACAATAGCACTGGGTAGGTCTCCATCCAGATGTGCTTGGCTCCATGGGGGCACAAGCTGGTTCCTGACTGCCTTGTCTTCTCTGCAGATGTCTCTCCAGTGGTGGCAGGCCTCATTGGTGCTACTGTGCTCGTGGTTTCTGTCTCAGTAACAGTTTTTGTGTGGACATGCTGTCACCAGCAAGCAGAAAAGAAGCACAAAACCCCCCCGTATAAGTTCATTCACATGTTGAAAGGCATCAGCATCTATCCGGAGACCTTGAGCAACAAGAAGAAAATCAACCGGATCCGGAGAGACAAGAATGGCGCTTCCAAGGAGGCTGGAAGGGGAAACCTCTTGGTGGATGCTGCTGAATCTGGTTTAATAGGCTCTGAGAAAGCTCCAGATGGGCCAAACGCAGCCCCTCACGTCGACCAGCTGCCAATAAAAGTCGATTATGGAGATGAACTAAGTCCAGATCAAAGCCTCACTCCAGGAGGAAGCAAAACCTCCTCCCCATCTTCTCCGGGGGAGGATGTCATGTTGGGTGAACTGACTTTCTCAGTGGACTACAACTTCCCTAAGAAAGCTCTGGTGGTCACTATCCAGGAGGCTCACGGGCTGCCGGTGATGGATGAGCACACTCAGAGCTCCGACCCCTACATCAAGATGACAATTCTTCCAGACAAGAGGCATCGAGTGAAGACTCGTGTGCTTCGCAAGACGCTGGAGCCCGTGTTCGACGAAACCTTCACCTTCTACGGGATCCCCTACAGCCAGCTCCAGGATCTGGTGCTTCACTTCCTCGTGCTCAGCTTCGACCGCTTTTCTCGAGACGATGTCATTGGAGAGGTCATGGTGCCCCTGGCAGGGGTGGATCCCAGCACTGGGAAGGTTCATCTCACCAGGGAGATCCTCAAGAGGAACATACAGGTAAGTCGCTGCAGGTAGTGTGAGCCGAGGCTCCTCGTGTTGTACTTGATCCCAGTTCTTTTGTTCCAGGAGCCTCTGTGGGTTAATAAGCAGGAATACTGCAAATCCTTGGCCGTGGAACCCGGTTTTCCACACATCATATGATGGGTATTAGATGGAGACACATGTGAGGGGTATTAGGTGGCTCTTTCCATCGGGCAGCTCTGCTGTGTGGTTGTGGTGATTTGATAAGGCACAGTCACTGTTTAGGCACAGAAATGATGAATAACTGATGCCAAGAAGAAAGGCAAAGTCCTGTCTCCTCCTCGACGAGCTGCTGTGGTAACAGGATGTTCATCGGCAGAGCCACACCAAAAGCAGCTCAGCAGAAGCAGAGTTCTGCTCATTGCTCTTCTTCCCCGAGGTTCTTGGGGTGCTTTACATTAGAACACAAGTGGCCCCTTTAGGTTCTTTTCATGGTATTGTCTTTGGTGCATTGACCATACCTCTTAGAAGTGAGAGATTCAACAGAGAGGGGAAAGGTCATGCTAAAGAGGAGGAGATTTAATAGGGGGTGCAAAGTCTTTACCATTTCCTTTGGTCAGTGTCAAACCTGGAAGCCCAGAGGCTTCTCCAGACCTGGAATGCAGAATTGCATCTACCCCGCAGTAAACTGCACTGAGCCCAGCCAGCAGAGGTGCATCCCATCCTCCTTCACATCCCCCTGCTCTCTGACAGTGGAAAATTGCTCTGAAGTAACTGCACTAAATTCAACTCAGATTTCCCTTCCAGGGCCAGGAACTTGCTCACGTGTTTCTCCATCAGGAACTTTACAAGAGCAGCAATTTTGTTCCTTGCATTGGAAGCACTGGCTTAACCCCCCAGCAACTGCTCAAGTCAACCCGCCAGGATGATAGAGAACACTGAAGTTTGCACATCCAGGTTTTCCCCACAACAGAGGTTGAAGGAACAGCTTCACCTCTTGGGGGATCAGAGCATTTAGTGTGACAGTTACTGTGGTGCTTCCCCAATTCCTGCCCTTGGGAATCCCCCCTGCTCTGCTGTGCCAGGTTAACAGCGCCAGGCTGGGTACTAAGAGTCAAACCCCTCAGCAGGTTGAGCTGTTGCACTAGTGCTGCTGCCTGTTACTGCCACACGACTTCAGGCCCATTGCTAATCCTCTTTGCCTGCAGAGCAAATAAACTTCACCTAATTGAGCGTCAGGGAAAGGTGATGAACAGCATCTGGAAACCCAGAGTGATTAACTTACTATTCCCTTACTCTTCCAAAGAGTAACTTGCACACTGCAAGTGCAACTGGGTAGATCTGGAGTTTCCTTTTCATCTTCATCCCGGCCCTTTGCAGGCTAAACCAGTGGTGAAGCTGCCAAAACATGCCAAAAGAACTCGAGTTACCTTGTGCCAGAGGTTCCCTCTCCCTGAGGCACTTGCAGTTGCCTGCACCTCCTTTTCCCCACTTAGCCCAGGGAAAGGGAATGTTGGTGCCCACGTTTCTGACACCAACTTGTCCTACAAAGTTCTCTCTCTTTCTCTTCCACAGAAGTGCATCAGCAGAGGGGAGCTGCAGGTCTCCTTGTCGTACCAGCCTGTGGCTCAGAGAATGACCGTCGTGGTGCTGAAAGCCAGGCATTTGCCAAAGATGGACATCACCGGCCTCTCAGGTAGAAGCTATTATCTCCACCTCAAAATGTGTAGGACAACAAATGTCCCGAGTTCACCCTGAGCTCTTCTCACCCTCTGTTCACTCACCTTTCCTCCCACTGTTCCCAAGGGCGATGGGTCACCAGGAGTGATCCATCATCCCCAGCAGATGGCTGCACAAAGACCAAACCCTTCCTCCCACGGGACCAGCAGTTGCATCCTTGCAGCAGCACCTCCTTTTCCAAATCCAGCAGGTCTCCACGGTGGCTTTGGGCAGCTCATGGATGCTCTGTGCTCCCGTGCTTGTGCAGATCACGGGTGCTCGGTGTCTCTGTGCCGCTCTCACTCCTCAGTGCCCGTAGCAGCATTTCTCACAGCACAACTGCTGCTTGCTGCAGCCACCTGCCCTCCTGCCCCTAGAAGAGGAGGGTAAAAGAGAGCTGGCATGGAAAAGAGGAGCGATAGTCTCAGAACATTCAGATGTTTTCCCTGCGTGTCCTCCAACTACAGGGTGAATCTCTCAGTAACCTTTCTGCTCCGGAGCTCCTCATTCCAGCTGGACAAAACAAGAGTCAGCCAGTGTCAGCTGGGAAGTGACTCCCAGCCTGAAACCTTGAGTTACATGGAGAAACAAAGCTCTGTGTGCCTCGGGCTTCATTTTAACCCTGAACAGAAGAGCAGATAAAGAACAAAGTGGGGCTGAGGGAAAAGGGAGGGTTTGGGTTGAACTTTCTTCTTTTTCAGTACCTTCAGTTTTCCAGCTGTGAATTGTTAAACCCCTTTGGACACTTTTGTGGGTTATTCTCTGAAACAGAGGAGGAATAGTCCTTGTTAGAGATGAGCGTTACCCAGCCCAGCACTGAGCTCACCAGGAAGCTCCCACCACCCTTTCCATGCACCGGCTCCCCCCCGGCCCCACGTCCCATTGAAACTCCTACAGAACTTCCACCACTAACCTTTGCAAGGAGGAAATACACCTCAGTACTGGAGTGAGCAGCCGAAATCCACACCACTCCCTTGAGCTGGGGCAGGTCCAACAAGCCGAACCCCCCCTGCTCCTCCCAGGAGCAGCCGGGGGCTGTGTTATTGGCTTCTCTCTCTCTGTCCTCCAGCAGATCCCTACGTGAAGGTGAACGTTTACTACGGCAGAAAGCGCATCGCCAAGAAGAAGACCCACGTGAAGAAGTGCACTTTGAACCCCGTCTTCAACGAATCCTTCATTTACGACATCCCTGTGGATCTGCTTCCCGACATCAGCATCGAGTTCCTGGTCATCGACTTCGACCGCACCACCAAGAACGAGGTGGTGGGGAGGCTGATCCTGGGCGCGCACAGCGTCACCGCGGCCGGGGCCGAGCACTGGCGGGAGGTGTGTGACAACCCCAGGAAGCCCATTGCCAAGTGGCACAGCCTGAGCGAGTACTAGAGCTTGTAGGGCAGCCTTAACCCTTGTTTTAGCTGTAGGACTAAACCTTGGTAAAGCAGCAGCAGGTGATGGGGTTCTCTAGTGATGTGATGTTTCGCAGGGCACTCAGATTCTAAAGAGCAGTGGATGAAAACCAGAAACACAGATATATATACCAGTGTACTCACGCTATTGCATGCCTAATACAAACTGAAATTAGTATTAACTACCAATATCAAGTTGCAGATTTTAATACGATTAATTCTCTGTCACTATGGAAGTTGTGTTTGTGCCGAACTGTCTTTGCTGGTATTCACCAAGATTGGCCTGTCTTTAGTAGGCTTCTCCCAAAGTTTAACCTCTAGTTTCTTGTTAGTTTGCCTGCCCATTGGTTCTTGCAGTTCTGTTCTTTGCTGGTTTGGGAGCACCAACCACAGTTCCATGTAAAGGTGGTTTAGAATTCTGCACTAGCTAAAGGGAGACCACAGGGAAACGGCACTTTCCTTCAGGGAAGCAAATTCTCTTGTCAGGTCCTGGAACTCCCGCCACTGCCACGTACTCGTTTTGGGGCTCCGAGGTCCCAACAGCAGAGGTTTCCATCTACCATTCACACCCCACCTAAGTGATCACTTTGCTTTTGCCACGTGGAAGCTGCAGGGACACGATCCCACAGCCCATCAGAACTCCCTGTTTAACCAGTGTTCAAGGCCAGGCTGGACGGGCCTTGGGCTACATGGTCTAGTGTGAGGTGTCCCTGCCCATGGCAGGGGGTTGGAACTGGGTGATCTGAAGGTCCTTTCCAACCCAAACCATGGCGTGAAGGGCCCAAGAAAACCAAACACAAACTGACGTGTCAGTGATGGGACAGGAAACTCCTGCTGATTCTGTCAAACATTAGAGGTGGGATTCCACATGCTCAGTTCTGTTACAATGGCCTCATGCAGCTGAGATAGGAAAAGGGGGTTTGGGGGAAAGAAGCACAAAGCTTCCCTTCGTTCAGCTTGGAGTCAGTTTGCATTAGAGGTGATGTGTAGCCAGCTCCAGAAGGGAGTTAACACAGGGCAAAGCCTGTTTCAAGGCAGCTCGAGGTAGTTGTTCCACTGTGAACGACTCCTGAGGCTTACCACAGGTTTCCATCACCTCGGAAGTGTGAAGGGCTGGAGCACTCGGGCTCTTAACCTGACTGGTCAGGAGCTCTGAACAGAGTTCACCAAGGTCCACAAATCCCAGCTTGGAAGCGGCTGCATTAGATCTGGTGTTAAACACACCCAGACACGAGACAGCAGCATCCTGGCAAGTAACTCCATGTCTTCCAGGGAAGATAGAAGGGTGGTAACTGGCAGCAGGTACTTGACTGTAGCCATTGGTGGTAAACTGAGCAGAACCAGAACCAGGCTGGAGGAGTCACAACTGCTGACCTCTGCGATGGAATCTGCAGCAGAAGTCAGCTTGCAAAGAGGCTTTCAGTTGGCCTTTAGTTGCTTCCAGGCAGCCAAGGCTGTTCTGTGCCCTGGGGAATGTCCATAATGGATTCTAACGATGACACTTGAAGCTCATTTCGCTCCTCACAGGCCTTGACTCCTGAATTTTAGAGCCCTGTTGGAAAAATGATCCTTCTCCCCTTCCTACTAATGAAGGTAGAACGATGGAGCGAGTCTGGCTGGGATCCCTCTGCAGCACTGGGAGGGCTCCTCATGCACAGGCAGCACGTTGGGAGCTGGCAATACTTTGGCATCTCTTCCTTCTTTTTGGAAAGCTGGATTTTCTCACTCATTGGAACTTCCTTCCAGGCAGAGTCTCTGCAGCAGCAGACGTTGCACTGACGCTGGAGCTCCCTCAGCACGGGCAGAGGGGGCTTCATTCGTGCGGGATTGATCCTAAACGAGGATTTCTGCCTGAGGTTGTAGATTGTGTCTTTAATGCTTTTCTAGCTCATGCTCTTCTAGTGGCTCCGAGCCACAGCCCGAGTCTCCCGTGGACACTGGGGTAGCTCTAGTTCAATCCTAGTTTTTGCACTAAGCGATTGTGTTGCTGCAGTTTAGTGACTGTCAGGACTTTTCCTGGGAACATGCTTTCCAGCACCGCTCCAGCCATCGGGATGAGGAGGCACCAGCACCACCCGGGACGCTCCCTCCTTCCCCTCCGGTGTGAAAAGCATGCTCCGGCCTAGAGGATCTCCTTAACATTCCTTTAGTTGCAAGGGAAAAGCTGAACTTCTTGGCAAGGAAACATGCTCAGGGTAAATAGACGTAGGCTCTCGGGCAGGTAGGAGCAGCTCCAACCCTCTATGGAACAACAGGAAACTGAAGATGTGCAGATATCTATATTTTTAAAGCATCGTATAGACAGAAAGTGACAGGAACTCACTGTACATCCCCCGCTGTGGTTGGTCTTTACCTTCTCGTGTCTCCTCGTGTCAAATTAACTTGGAAAGTTACAACTTTGTGTGAAAAAAAGGAAAATAAAAGGAAAAAAAACCTAACTGGACATGTGTGAAAGTGCATCATGCGTGAGCTGGTCCATACATGAGCTGATCCGTGCGTGAGCTGGTCCATACATGAGCTGATCCGTGCGTGAGCTGGTCCATACGTGAGCTGATCCGTGCGTGAGCTGGTCCATACGTGAGCTGATCCGTGCGTGAGCTGGTCCATACGTGAGCTGATCCGTGCGTGAGCTGGTCCATACGTGAGCTGATCCGTGCGTGAGCTGGTCGTACCCGTGCGTGAGCTGTTCCATACATGAGCTGATCCATACGTGAGCTGGTCCATGCGTGACCTGATCCATACGTGAGCTGGTCCGTGCTGTAACACAAGCTTATCTGTTGGATTTGTTAACACACATGGAGTGTGCAAATAAACTGGATTCACTTCAGCTGCTGCCTGTGCCGTGATTGATGTAGGCAACACGCACGGGACTAGAGCTGGAAGGGCTCAAGGCCAGGTTGGACACAGGGGCTTGGAGCAACCTGCTCTAGTGGGAGGGGGTCCTGCCCGGGGCAGGGGTTGGAGCTGGAGGAGCTTTGAGGTCCCTTCAACCCAAACTGTTCTATGACTCTAAATTTAAGCATTGGTTCCACAAGTGGGTGTTTCTGCTCTGACAATTCCCAGGCCAAGCACACACAAAGGAAAACCCCAAGAACTAAAGGAACAGGACACAATCCCAGCAAATGAAGTCTCACACTGATACTGAAGTGTTGGCACATCCAAAACCTCTCCATGACCCGCCCAGCGTTATCATTTGGTGTGATTTGGCATGAAAGGATATTCATTAGCTCAGTTGCAGCTCAGTGAAAAAGAGGACCTGGGATGAGCAGGAGCAGCAGCAGATTGACTCTAACAGTTGGAATTCGGAGGCAGTCCCGGAGCCCTGGAAAAGGGGATGCTCCGGGCGCTGGGCAGGAGGCTCCAGCCTCTCCCGAGCCCGAGCAGGGATCTGGCTCCTGTGACTTGTTCCCTGCAGCTCCCGGCACAGAACAACATCGCTCGGCACAAAGCCACGGCTTCAGTAATGCCGGATCCCGCAGAGCCCGGAGCCGTTTCCCAGCAACCCCGAGCACAGCGGCCCCGCGCTGCTCTCCCCTCCCCTGGCAGCTCCCATGTACCAGAGGTGGTTTAGGTTTCTCTTTGGGTGTCCCAAAACGAGCCTCAGGTCTCAGCTTAAGGGATCAGGGAGTTTCAGGCCAAGCTTTACAAAACGATGCCTCGTATCCCAGGAGAAAGGATGTGGCCGGTGCTGCAGCTCTTGGGATCTGGGCAGGCATCTGGCCTGGCTCAGCACCAGGGTGGCAGGAGGGGCAGGACTAGTGATACATCTCCTCCTACTGGGGAGGCTGCACCTCGAACCCTGTGTTCAGCTCTGGGCCCCTCACTACGAGAGAGACATTGAGGTGCTGGAGCGGGGCCAGAGAAGGGAATGGAGCTGGAGCAGGGCCTGGAGCACAAGTGAGTGAAAAGTTACTTACACCAAGGGTGGCAAAGCCCTGGCACAGGCTGCCCAGAGAGCTGGTGGATGCTCCATCCCCGGAGACAGCCAAGGCCAGGCTGGATGTGGTTCTGAGCAACCTGCTCTAGCTGGAGGTGTCCCTGCTCATTGCAGGGGTTGGACTGGGTGAGCTTTGGGGGTCTCTTCCAACCCAAATTGCTCTGTGAGTCTCTGGAACTGATCAACCAGCAGGAGATGCTCATCCCATCACCAGGGCACTGGGGCCATGCACTGGGGACGGAGGGAGTGAAACCCTCAGGAAGCCAAAAGTAGCTCGACCCGACTCCTGCCCTGGTGGTTCAACTCCAGCACATCACCCATGGGTGGCACGCAGACAGGACGCTGAGCACACAGGAACGTCGGAAGCTCCTGAGGTCCTGATGCACAAGACCCGTGCACCCATCCAGAGCCAGCACCCAGTGACTGGAGACACCAGGGTTCGTTTAACACCTTCGGTTCTGTCCTGGGCCCATACCCACAGTTGTCAGAGCTCACGCAAAGCTCCCCTGAGGGTGGTTTTGTACTCACTGAGCAAGATGTGAAAGCAAATCTCTCCTCCCTGCTTGGCTTCTGCCTCTGGGGCTGCCTCTAACAAAGGTCCTTCAGGTTCCTCCGTTCAGCTGAAACAGCAACAAAAGGATTTGCATAAGAAAAAGTGAAGGAAGAAAGCAAAGAGAAAGGGATTGACAAGCCCTGAAAGGGGAAGTGGGATTGTGCAGAGCACGGGGGCTCCGCTCCCACCCGCTTCCCACCTTCCTCAGGACCTTTAAACCCGTTCTCAACACAATTGGGTCTCTCCTCCTCCTCTGCCTCACCCAATTCCCTTGGGAGCAGCTGTGTTGCCAGGGCACTGGGACTCACTGTAACAGCAGCCCCCTCCTGGCTCCATCCTCCTGTCAGGCAGTTGTAGAGAGCGATAAGGTCCCCCCTGAGCCCTCTCTGCCCCCACAGGTCCCTCAGCCACACCAACTCCTCTTGCTTGGAGCAAGACATGCATTTTCCAGCAGAATTCCCAAGCACAACGTGAGCTCTTCCCTCTTCAGCGCTCTGAGGCTGACCAGCTTCAACCCATCCCGCTGGGCCCCGGAGAGGAAAGATCAGCTGCAAGAGTTTGTATTCAAAATTATATATTGTGTCAAATAAACCAGGAATTCTGTGTACAAATTTATACATGACAAAAATAAAACTCTTTGAGTAACACTGTGTAAAACCAAAGTGCTCGCTGCTCTTCCAATGGAGTGACTCCAGCAACAGGCTCACAAAGGCACCAGTAAACACTTCCATTGCGTCGAAGGAATCCCAGAAGGCACAGACATCCCGTTATTAAGGGTGGAAATGGGCCCAAGGAGCTTCCAGTGCTGCCCAGAGGCTCCCTGCACGAGCTGCCCGACACTGACCGCAGGAGCTGAGCAATGCTCTGTGTTACCAAGGAGCAGCAGAGGGAGAACTGGGCAGCACCATCAGGCCCTGCTCTGCCCTCCCAGGGGCTGGAATGATCTTTACCATGACAGAAGCAGCAACAACTCTGCTGTTGCCTCCTCCTCAAACCCAGGGTTTTTAGCTGAGTTACAAGCAGCAGGAGGGAATGAGGAGGAGGGATTTCAGTCCTAAAGCAGTGGCTGCTGAGGGGACACACAGCTGCTCACCAGCTTACGGACAAGAGGTCTGAAATTCCAAATTCTCACCTATGTGACTTATCCTCAGCCTTTCCAAACAACATGTGGGACTGTTACCAGTGTCGAGAGATGCTGGAGCACTGGAAAAGAGAAACAAGGGCCACTGGGGCTGTTTAGCTCAGCCACACACAGAATGATGGAACCCTCCTCCAAATGTCTTCACTTAGTCTGCTCCTGCTTTGAAATCCCACACCAAGAAAATACCCTTAAACCCAACAGGCACAGAATTTCCAGGCATACCTGAAGCAAGAAGGAGTTCAGCAAGAAAAGCAGCTGAAGTGCATGTATTTGCTGCCCTTGTTTCTTGTACCAACCCTGTTACACAGGAGTGTTCAGTTTTGACTGCGCTCTCCCATGCACCACGCTCAGACTGACGTTACAGGGTTGGGTTTGGAACAAGATTAACAGTGACTGACACAGATGATCAAAGAATAATAGAAACTCTTCTACACTCAGCCTACGAAGCTCTTACACTCTGAAACAGAAAGATTCCAGGCACTTAGTTCTCCAGGAAACCTGTTTTAGCCATGTCCGAGTTTCCCAACTATGGTTTGTTCTGTTATTAAACCCCAGAGGAACAGCAGACATCGTGTCTCTGCTGGATTTAACCCTGTAACTGAGGTGGGTGTAAATCAGCTCCAAAGCAGAGAACAAGCCCATGTATGCAGGGTCTGTACCAGCAGCACTTTAACCAGATCCCTCTTTACTGAGCATAAGGGAACCTGTACCTGTGCCACCCGCACCTGGAAGGTCAGGATGTGACCCCGGCAGGGGCTGTCACTGTGCCCAGCTGATTCCTTCCTTCCACTGCACCAGCAATTCCACCTTTAAGACTGCACTGGAAGCATCTTACCAGCATTGGGGGTGCTAATTCTAGGCCCAGATGCCCCGGGATCAGGCATTTTGGCTACAAAGTAGTTACATAGGAAATAATTTGGAATCACTATGTTGGAGGCTTCTACTTACCAAAGCTACTGGCTCCTTTAGGACAGGAACACAAACCAGAGGGGAAACAGACAAGCCAGCGCACCCTTACAGCTACGGCTTGTTCCACAAGCACGTCAGAGAACTCAGAGCTGTGGTTCCTGCAGCATCGTGACACGACACACGCTGTGGCACCCAGTAAAGGCTGTGCACAGCAGGAAAAGGCTCCATCTCGTGCCTGTTGCCAAGTTACAGCTGCCATAGGAACCAGAATTCGCTGCTTCTGACTTGTTCTGAACCCCACCTACACCAGTGCTGCTGAACTCACCACTTCCACCCTGCTGCTGGAAGGAAATCTATGACATGGGAACACCAGAACTCCAGCACAGCTCCACACCCAGCCGAGGCTGCTGGTCATGACAACCACTGTGTAAACTACTCTTCACCACGACCTCAACAAGCCACCCCTTGGGATGTGGGTCACTGTTCAGAGAGCAGCAACCTTTGCTTGTGCAAACCACTAGAAACAGAAGATTCATTAAGTTAAGTTGGGGAGAACTTCAGCAATATCTTACACAATTCAGCTTCCAGCACGCAGTGACTGAAGAGAAACGTTCCAAAGTGCAGGGCCATAAACCTATCAGCATTTGTAACCAACATACAAGCAACATTTGCTGGATCCAGTCAAAAAATGACAACAAACAACAGTACAAGTGCTACTGGTCTGAAGTGAAATATCCAAAACGAAGGGAGTATCATTCTAAACAAGAAGAAGTGGTAAAAGTTATGTCTTCCCTCACAGAAGTCCACTCAGCTTTCAAACACGCCACCAAAATGTTGTCACTGAACTGCTTTGGTTACAAATGGCTGTTCACAGGTTCTGTTCTATGTGCAGAGGAGTCCTCTCTGTTCAAGTGACCGAATCCTTCTTCCTTCTAAAGGGCGACTTCAGCCTTTTCCACACGCTGCTTTTGGGTTTTGATTTCTTCTCCATTGCCATCACTGCTTCCTTCTCCTTCCTGCGGATCTCCCGCACCAGGGCGTGGAACACGTCGTCGATGTAGTAGCGGAACGCGGCCGACGTCTCGAAGAAGGGGCAGTTGAACTCTCGAGCTAAAGATGAGCCTTCTTCTTTGGAGACCTGGAATAAACCCCCTCGTCAGAAAAGCCAAAACCAGAAGCAGAGATTCAACCAGGCTGGAAAAGACCTTTCAGCTCATCCAGTCCCCCCGTTCCCAGCCCTGCCAAGGCCACCACTAACCCCTGGCACTGAGGCGTGTGCACCAGCCCCATTGCCCTTCTCTGGCCACAGGAAAGCAACCCCCACTCCTCCTCCTTTCTGTCTCATAGCATGGGTGTTCTACCACACTACCATCATCTTCCAGGAGTTCAATCAAAAAGAAGAGCCCAAGAGCAGACTCTCCTCTTGTGACCGCTGTACCCGCGTGGTTACTGATCCCATCCAGGCTGCACAAGTACTTCTCTACGGTTCAACTTAGATTAGGAAACATGCAGGAAACTGGAGCAAGGGAGTAGAACCTTCTGTATTACTGCACCCTCCAAGGGCAAAGAGCTCGTAGCTGGGGCCTGGGTTGTGCCATTTACCTGCCGCAGCTGTGTCAGGTCGGATTTGTTCCCCACCAGCACCACGGGGGTGTCGTCGGTGCGGCGGACGCGGTAGATGAGCTGCTTGAACTCGCGCACCTCGTGGAAGCTGCGCCGGTCTGTGATGGAGTAGCAGATGATGAAGCCCTCCCCAGCCCTCATGTACTGGTCCCTCATGGCCGTAAACTCTGCCTACAAACAGACAAGGACATTTCAGCTCCACAATCCCTCTCTGGGCTGCTCAGAATGGGAAACACAACGTGCGCAGCAGCTCTGTGAAGTAGCAGGGCAGGACCTGGCACAGGGTGCCCAGAGAAGCTGTGGCTGCCCCATCCCTGGCAGTGTTCAAGGCCAGGTTGGACACAGGGACTTGGAGCAACCTGCTCTAGTGGAAGGTGTCCCTGCCCAGGGCAGGCGTTGGAGCTGGAGGAGCTTTGAGGTCCCTTCAACCCAACCCATTCCAGGATTCTTCCATCCCACACCATTCTAATGTCCCATTTCAGGTAGGACAACGCAGCACATGCTTGGGATTAACACCAAGTTTCCTCACTACAGAGATCACACCAACATGCCATTTATCAGCCAATACCTGTTGCTTGTTGATCATGAACAGAAAGGTGCACCAGAGAAAGCACTGCCAGAACCCAGAGCACCATCCTGAGGTGCCCAAATACAGAGAGTGTGACACAGATGCTATGAGCAATGCAGGGCTTAGAAGTCAGCCCAAAAAACAACTTGGAAGAGAAGACCTGCGTCCTTATACAGGATTTCTGTCTCTGAGCCCGACCATTAGAGACTTTTAACACCCTCCTAACGTTCTTATCACTGACCTACCTGTCCTGCTGTGTCCAGGATATCCAGGTTGGCAGGTTCATCGTCAATGCGTATTCGTATTTTATAAGCATCCTCTGCGAATCCAGAGCACATGGGAAAGAGCAAGGTTGGTACAACTGCAGTACTCAGCAGTTTCCAGTTCCCAAAGAGAACACGCCAGAACCAGCCCAGCTGGGACCACTCCTCTGATCTTCATTTAACAACCAAGGATGCGATTTGGGGTCCGGCTGAACGTTGGCCACAGCCACACCATTGTACCTGCTGTTTCTGACCACTCTACGACCCAGTTTGGGCACTTCCCCAGGAGGAGCATTACACTTTCCCAAAGCCAGAAAACACCCGGGAGTCAAGAGAACTGCTCTCCTCAGATGATGAATACTGTGTTCCTCTAAGTCAGCTCTCCCACACTACACGGGCCGCTTCCAACAAGAAACTGGCTGCTTTTCCCACTTTTCCTTTGACACTGTGGGAAAGGTTTCTCTTAAGTTGCTGCAAAAGCTCTGCAGCAACATAGGAAGTTGTTCAGCACTTTCCTCCCTCTCTGCTTCTAAAGCACAGAACACAACTGGCCCTGGTCCCTAGCAGAGAGCTGCTCTCCAGCACGGAGAGTGCGTTTAAAGGCACCTAATAACAACAAACCCAGGAGGTTTCAGCCCTTCTCTGCCAACGTACAAGCGTAGCTAGCACACGGCCTGAATATATGAGACAGGAAAAGCACTAGAGAGCTAAACCCCCGGCTCTGTCCCTGCCCCAGCAGCCTCAGAGCTCTTCGTACCTTTAAATGAGTAACCTAAAGGACGTTGGTCCTCAATTCACAGCTTGCTTTCAATTGAGCACTTGCAAGCAATGGACTGCGCGGCAAAGGGAGGGCCCGAACAGCAAAGAGAAAGAGACTTTTCCTACCG